TCCACACTGATGCCGGAGGTGGGTTCTTAGGCCACTGGCTGGGACCTGGCTGGAACTCTGCTGACAGTGAGGAGGCCGCTCTGCTGGCGGAGAAGTAGGTACTGCTGGGGAGGGCAGATGTGTAGACTGGGTTCACAGAAACTGGCCTCTGCTGCTGCGACTGTAATGCCGACGGGACATCTACGAAGGGACTGATCTGGTCACCAGCCGCTTCCCTCATCCTGAACTGTCTGGACATCTTCAGACAAATTTAGCATGCAATAAAAAGTGTGACATCAAATAAATGAATTTTAAATGTATGCAATTGTATATACTTACTGGTTAAGAACTGTGGTGATGTCCTCATACACAGGTTCCAGGCAGGCATCATGCAGACGATCCAGTTCAGTTTCCAGGTACTTGCAGAAAGGAGTGGCCCTGTTGACTGGCTGCTCTCTAGTGATGAACTGAACCAACCTATCTTGGAGATCACGGGATGATGCTCCGGTAACTCTCATCTCCGGAGACTCGGGTTGGTCCTCAGCAGCTGTTCCTGTCCTGGAAGGAGGTCTCGGTGTAGGGTAGCCAGTGTACTTCTTGTTGGGCTCCCTGGATTTGTCTGCAAAACTGTCGTCACTCCCAGCCAGCTCACCCGTCTCAGCCAGGGCCAACTTGTCCTTAAACTGCAAAGACAAAAATAGAAAACAAACATAAGTACATTTGAAAGTTATATTTGGAAACAAAAATGTGGGAAATTGAACATTTTCGACAAAGTTCCGTTTTAATTTAATTTCAATGATATACTCACACTAGCTGGTATTTCCTTGTTGTGACGTCTGATGTGTGGCTTCAGAAACCCAAAGACCTGGCGGATGAACTTGTCACGGTCACTGTCATTCTCACTGGCCTCCTCAGCAAGGATGGGGTCTTCCTCGTCACTGCTCGACAGACCATCACCAGACCTCTTCTGGGATTTCTTCTTGGGTTGGCAGCTTTGAGAATCGAGTCCTCTGTGTTTGATACCATTTCAGAATTGAATGATCTGCAATGACAGAAATCAAAACAAATAATTAGTCCAATCATTGAAATGTTCATTGGCAGCAATGTATGTCAAGTATCTGAAATAGATTTCAAATATTTGAAAGTAATTGAAATGTACATTTTTTTCTACTTACAATCCAACCTGTACTCCGCAGCCTTTCCCTCCCATAGGTGCCTCTTTAATGCCTTCTCTTTGTACTGTTTGTCCTTCATGTCATACAGTAGCTTCTTACTCTTCACCCAGCAAGCGATTGCCTCCTCCTGCGCCTCTGTGAAGCTGTATGATACACCAGGGGGTGGGTTCTCCTTCTGGGCCTTGCCTTTCCCTTTGTCGCCCTTGCCCACTTCAGGCTTGGACTTGCCTGCAGGGAGGGCGGGGGAGGCTGACTCATCTGAAAAGATACCAAATGAAAAACAAATTAAGTACATGCAGGACAACAATGTATGAGAATATATAACAAAATCAATTACCCCTCTTGCCCCCCATCCAGGGTTCGAGTTATGTAGGAGCCAATGGGAGCTGAGCTCACATAAGGAGGGGTCTGAGCTCCCATGGACGCAGTGAAACTATACATCTGTGGGGGTCGCTAATACATTACCAACAACCATTATTTTAATCACAAATAATGCATGTGTCAATGTAATGAGTATTTTTTACGTTAACGAGGTAAATAGGCTAAAAGAAAAATATGCTTTCCAAAATAACTACGCATCTCTTGAATGACAATATGCCTGCACTGCACCTCCAAGGTGCGCAATTATTACGCAATCTATGCCGATGATGTGTGTGTGTGTGTGTGTGTGTGTGTGTGTGTGTGTGTGTGTAGTTGAACCTTTTCATATTTAAGTTTGTAGCAAGTAGAGAGAGGGCTGATGCTGCTGCGTGTGAGTGTGTGTGGGTGCGCGCGTCCGTACCCACACACACACTCACGCAGCAGCAGACTCCCCATAGAGCACAGTTTATAACTCGAAGCCTGCCCCCATCCATACCAAAAATAAGTTAGAAATATTTACCTTCATCCTCCGAGGATTCGGGATGTCTGTTACGACGAGGAGAAGGTGAATGCTGCCGAGACTCTTCGGACTGCTGAGGAGACCTGGAACCCTCTGGGGGCCGCTCTGGAGTTTTACTTGGCCCGACTTTCTTGCATTTCCTCCCCTTTCTCTCTCTGGTTGCAGACTCAGTGCTGTGTTATTGAACCTCAGTTTCCTCTTCTGAGTGTATTTAACAGCCAGCTTCTTCCGTCTGCCTCTCCCTGCCTTGGGTGGCATGTTAACGTAGACTTAAAGTAGAATTTACCTTGTGTTCTGCTCCCAATAATCTCCGATCAAGAATTTGATTTCCCACACGGCCGAAGCTTTTATACCATCGGGGGGTCACGTGTCGCCTTCGTGGGTGGTTCGGGTGCCATCGTGTGGCCTTCTGTAGGCATCGTACTTGCTTCGGCTGTTGCTTGGCCGATGACCAAGTTCGGGCCATCTTCGTGCGAAATTCACAATTCCATATTCGTGTGTCCATCGGGAGTCAATTTCGGGACAGTGTGACAGGGCCTTTACCTCACTGAGCTGTAGTCATCAGCCTCTCAGTCTGACCGGAGAGGACTCTCTCTCCACATCATTGTAGAAACATCTTCTTCTTATATCCGTTAGAGCAGTTAGCACCAGATGCTAATAACAACAGCGCCGGAACCGGTGCGCCCTCCCTCGCTCACTCGCATTTTGGCTGTGAGCTGCGGGTGCCAGATGGCCGAGGCTATATACAGGACGGTCCTGTACACAACGCCAAATGGCTATATACAGGACCGTCCTGTACACAGCTCTCTGAAATGGCTATATACAGGACGGTCCTGCACAGAAGCCCTGAAATGGCTATATACAGGACCGTCCTGTATACAAGCTCCGAAATGGCTATATACAGGACCGTCCTGTAAACAGCTCTCTGAAATGGCTATATACAGGACGGTCCTGTGGATAAGATATCTGAAATGGCTATATACAGGACCGTCCTGCAGCTAACGTCAAATGACTATATACAGACCGGGCTATTATAGCATGCTTAAGCAAGTTTCGCGGGTGGTAATGTAGGGATAGGATTCACAGATAAATATTCTCATAACAACATTATTTTCAATGAGTTTCCCCTCAATATAAAATTGTGGCAATTAAATCTCTTTCCATGCCAATTGCTTAGCTTTTTATGCTGATTTCAGTCTTTTTTTTGGCTTATCTTTTTATGTTGTTTCAATCATTTTCTACTTTATATTTTCCAATGCACAATGTTTTACTTGTAAAGGATATCACTGCATACTTTAAAGACTACTCGGTTTTATTAAAACTGAAGGGTTTTTTTTAAAGAATACGCCGACATTTCGTTGAAGTGTAGTGATTTTGCATTGAAAGCAACACAAATCATTTATCGGCTACGCCGGCATTTTTATTTTAGAAATCGGAGAAACCGTATTTTGAATTGTATCACCGTCCTGTATATAGCCATTTCAGAGGGTTGTGTACAGGACGGTCCTGTATATAGTCATTTGGCGTTGTGTACAGGACGGTCCTGTATATAGCTACTCCCGTGCCAGATAAGCCAACATCCCCCATTTTCATCACTTACAGCGCCCATTGTACAGGGCAAATGAAACGTGTAAACGAGGTGAAAAGGATGTTACATTTACTTAATTATGAATATTGTTACATCAAGGCCGAAAATTAGGATGAGCCCCAACGGTCAAAAATGTTTTTTTCCCTCCCAGAACTGCCAGCGCAGCGCCTCCCCAGATCTGGCGCCCGAGGCGAACATCTATAACGCCAGTGCTACGGGCCGGCCCTGAGTTCATATGCAACTCGCAAATATCTTTCTCTCTCTCCTCTCTTCTCTCTCCTCTCTTTTCTCTTCTCTCTTTTCTCTTCTCCCTTCTCTCTCTTCTCTCTCTCCCTCTCTCCTCTCTCTCTCTCAATGTTGGTACGCAAATGCGCCTTTTTTCAAATGACCCGGTGAGTAAGGCCGTTGGTGCGCACCTGCGCACCAGTTATGTGCAGCCCTGTTAATAAGCCTTGTTCAACATCATTTATTTAACTAATACTACAGCAGGCTGCAGGCGAACCAAGTCCGCGTTCCGCTGCATTCCTTGATCTCCAGTTATAATGCCAGACTCCGCCACCATAATTGGGTCCCCTTTTAACGTTTGCTCCCATTTAGCATAGGCTAATGGCCGTCATATCCATAGACTATAAAAGTCTTACCCAAGGCTGAATCATAAACTAAACTGTATATGTGCATGGGCGTCGCAGCCATTATATGAGGGTGGGACAAGTCCCCCCCACCTTTTAAAATGATTAGTTTAGACCCCCCACTTTTACTATCCACTCGCCACTCTGAACGCTGTGTCAGTGCTTCATTATCAAATCCATTCCACTTGCTTATTGTGAGAATGCCCAAATCAATTAAATTCCGTGCCATGTTTTCACTGCTACTTTGTACCAAGGCAGATTCTCAGAGCCGTACACATGAGCCGTACACATGCTGCGTTTTTTGTGTAGCTGTGTCTTTAGTTGTAAAATGATGCGCGCCACAGTTTCCACGCTGCGAGGCTCCGGCACTAACAGTTCACGAGCGTGCTCCATTAGCATCCGGATATAAGGCGCTGTTATTAAAGAGGTGGAGGGAGAGTCCTCACCTATCAGACTGAGAGGCTGATAACTACAGCTCAGTGAGGTAAAGGACTCTCTGAGAGGTGGAGGGAGAGTCCTCTCCTGTCAGACTGAGAGGCTGATAACTACAGCTCAGTGAGGTAAAGGACTCTCTGAGAGGTGGAGGGAGAGTCCTCTCCTGTCAGACTGAGAGGCTGATAACTACAGCTCAGTGAGGTAAGGGACTCTCTGAGAGGTGGAGGGAAAGTCCTCTCCTGTCAGACTGAGAGGCTGATGGCTACAGCTCAGTGAGGTAAAGGACTTTCTGAGGGTTTAGATAGTTCACTTTAGTCTAAGTAGTGGGTCTCAAACGGTTTGGTAATCATTTATGTAAATAAGGCACACCTTTATATGATCATTAATAATAGTTATAAAAAACAAGAGAATAACAGGTATGAAATAATTCCAACTCATACTATAGGACAGTAACACACAAATACAGTTTAAAAGGGGAGTGATTTGTAAAATATGCATAAAGAAAAAGTAAATCTGTTTACAGTTCTGTTTCACATGGGTGTTGTTGAGAGATGTATCCATAGATTTAGTCCCTAATTTTGCTCTCAAAGTGCACCAGATTGATGCATTTAACTTCAACATTTAAAAAAAAAAATCTTCCCTGGGGAGCATGCCCCCAGACTCCCCTAGCGGAGGTGAGTTCCACCACCCGCCCAAACCCCCTGTCAAATTGTCCCACCCACATTGAGGATGCTTCCTACGCGCATGTATATGTATATATATACACACATGTATAAAGGGTTACGTCCTTAGCTGGTTAATAAGCTATATAATATAACAAGCTAAGCTAACAAGCACACAAACACCTGCTAACGGGGCTAACATGTATAATATTATCATTTTAGACTTCTTGGAAGTTCTGTTAGAACATTCAACAACACAGCACAACATTTTAATTGTCTGGTATTTGTAACAAGTAAAGTAACTACAACTAGCTAACGTTGTAGCCTAGCAGAGTGGACAAGTTGCTGTTAGTTGACAGTGAGGCACGTACCTGTCCATCAAAGTGACCACGCCCTAATTTATGCAAAAACGTTAAGACCTAATATAAATAAAAGGGTTGCGTTATAAAACAATTCACTCAACAATTAATAATCATTAAGGTGTCTAACTATATCCGGAAAATTGCATCCAGGGGTAGAAACATGTTTATTTCTGCTGTAAAGTTGGGCATTTTAACATGGGGGTCTATGGAAATTCATCCTTTCTGCAGTCATTGCCTATCGGTCAATAGATGAACTGCAGTTTGTGGCACTTCCTTATTGGCCTGGCTCTGCCCCAGAGTTTGCCGTTTGGTTGAGAGCTGCAAATACACAAAAGGGGAGTTAGTCGGTTCCGTAAGATCCAGCATGCAGGACCGGGATTTGTAGTCTTTCTAGTTGCGTATTTTTCATAGTCTTATATTTCAACAGTTTTACGACAAACTGTGACTTTTTTGACATGGAAATAATTTTTTAAGATTGACAAACATCATATGTGTAATTCGTGAATTCAATCTATGACTTCAATACACACTTTTCCGAAATAGAGAGGCGAAGTCCCTCCCCTTCCAGTGGACCTCCATGGGACCTTATTTCGGAAAAAAATATGTATTGAAGTCAATGGCGAGAGAAAGATTATCTTTCGATCCAGTTTGAATCGTGCCACGAATTACACATGATGTTTGTCAATTTAAAAGAAAATGTTGCAAGTCAAAAAAGTTAAAATGTGTCGTAAATGTATATTCCCTCTCAGGAATGTGCACTCTTCAAACTACACCTCAACTGTTCCAGCTGTGATGACCTTCTGACTACATTACCCACACTGCAGAAACTGCAGACCTTACCTAATATTTAGATTTGAAGTCTAGTGACTCTTGTTTTTTATTCTTTATTCCTGTGAAGCTGACCGTTGAGCGGCCCGACCAAGCAAGGAGGCAGAGGCAGAACGTCCACAAATTATTACCCGGTGTGGGCATTTATTAAAATCATGTGCACATAGTTCACAGTAGTGATGTTACGTATTGCGCCGAGGCTTCGGAGCGTGTGTCGAGTAATCCCCGAAGCTTTTTGTGAAGCTTGTATCGAGGCTTGTATCGTTTTGGGCCAGTGACGTCATCGATGACAAACGAATGTCGATACCACGTGACTGCTTCAGGAAGCGATTCAGATCGGTTGAACCGTTGAACCACAACGCTCATAATACCCATGGATGTATAATAAGAACCATATTAGGCAAGGCAATGCAAGGCAAGTTTATTTATATAGCACTTTTTAACACAAGGCAATTCAAAGTGCTTTACAAAAAATGAAAGTCATTAAAAAGAAAAGCTAATAAAATAAACATTAAAAGAAAAAAATACATGGATAAAAGTTACAGTGCAGTCTAAGATATGAATAGTTCAATTAAACATTAAAAGAAAAAGTACATGGATAAAAGTTACAGTGCAGTTTAAGATGTGAATAGTTCAATTAAAAGCAGCGACAAAAAGAAAAGTCTTCAGTCTGGATTTAAAAGTAGTCAGAGTTGCAGCGGACCTGCAGGTTTCTGGGAGTTTGTTCCAGATATTTGGAGCATAATAACTGAACGCTGCTTCTCCATGTTTAGTTCTGACTCTGGGGACAGAAAGCTGACCAGTCCCTGAAGACCTGAGAGATCTGGATGGTTCATCATTTAGCAGGAGGTCAGAAATGTATTTTGGGCCTAAACCATTCAGTGCTTTATAAACCAGCAGCAGTATTTTGAAATCTATTCTTTGACACACAGGAAGCCAGTGTAAAGACTTCAGAACAGGAG